GCGACCAAATCATGATGTACAAAGTGATCGTTTGCGGCGACATCCCGGAGATCGCACAGCACTTCAAACTGGGCGTTGATATGCCTACGCGCGGACATTGCTTCAAACTGGTGGTACAACGGACAGATGGCCTCCCGCATATCTATCGATTCTCAATGCGCGCCGCGAATGCAGGGAACAATGTCTCTCCCTCCCACCGATATTGTTGCTGCCGACACAGTTGCCGGGTTCAAGAAGAAATACGACGCCTTATATGAACAGTGATCTGTACCGTACACGGGAGTGTCCTTGATTTGGTGGGGAGATTGATCTAACCTGTCAACTCTCATATGTCCGATGGCTGCAAAAAAGGGTTTCCACGGATCCGTTCCCCACCCTCTCTTGATGGAACATGAAACATGAAGGCTCCGCTCTATATATACTTGGCCACAATTACTTCCGTCAACTTGGATGGAATACCTTTGTAATTTTTTGTGCAAAGTGCTTTTTTATACTAGAGTCTGGGAATTTCGTCGTTAGTATCTAGATCTAGAACCTCCCAAATGTTTCTGCGAGAAATCAATCTATTATTTGTTAAAATAAACGAAAGTCACGTAAATAATTCAAAACCGATGGGCTCGGAGTAGTGCGCGGATCATGGATGTGAGTTGTGTTTTCTTCAACTCTCGTTTATTTTATAAAAGTATGAGCGGCTTTGACTTAAAAACTAACTTACTTAATATTTACTACATTTTTTGCTTTCCAATTCGTTTTCCGGACAATGCGGTTTTTAAAATAGTTTTATTCGTAAGGCTTTCTTCTGCCATCCTCCAACCTGGCATGCCCTTCCATTTCTTTTATTCGGTTTAAAGCGAAAATTATATTTTTGTCACTTGTTTGGCCTGCGCTCGATTTTTCATCTATGAGCTTGTCCACGAACTTCTTAACCTACATTTGCCACATCTTGACATTGATGTCATTATTTGCCGGTACCAGCGAAGGGACTATTAACAAGATCATACGGGAGTTTTATTTTTTTTCTATTCTTGCCTTTAAAGAATAATGTACA